TTTACATAACCCCCTATGGTTTCAAAAGCTATACATAACCCCCTCATGATTTGGATTAAAGTGTCAAAGTAACGGAAATAGTCACTCGTAACGGAACTTCTAAAAATGTCGAAATTACCCTTATAAATACATGACACATTGACCCCGTATGATTTTTATATTTTACCATTTAACTGCCTTACGATTTAATATTTTATCATATAACCCCCTTATAATTTTCAAAATATACACATAACCCCCCTTGGTTAATACATAAATTTTAACTTTACATAAGGGTATTTTTGACATTTTAGGTGACGCCGTTATGAATGATCATTCCCGTCACTTTGACACTTTAATCCAAACCATAAGGGGATTATGTATAACTTTTGAAACCATAGGGGGTTATGTGAACAAACGCTAAACCACAGGGGAATAAAGTGAAATTTGCCCTATTTTATAAGATTCAGCCCAATAAATTTAAGCATGGGTAGACTGAGTTCGGGACAACACTACCCAATTGATAGGCTTACTAATGAATTACGTTTGAAGATTGGAAATTTTTTTTCAAAGAAGATAACTCTTCGATCGTAGATATATAAAGTGCTTGGTAGTCTTGGCAGAAGATGTATCAAGCCTGCAGGATTGTGTTGAAAGCTTTTTAAAAATGGGATTCAAATTTCGGGAAATTCTGGTTTGAAAAGTTCAAAATCTTTGTCTTCTGTGCTTCATTTTATTTTGATAGTGCTTTTCTTGGTAAAGATCAGATTAATATCTTAACAATTGAGGTGAATTAACTTGCAACTGAAATGATTTATTTGGTGCTATAACGATGCTTTCCCAAGTGATCATTTTTTGTTTAATTAATTATTACAGGCCTGAAGATTGTATTTTAGGAATTTTTTTTTTTTTTTGTAGTTTGTTATACATGGATTTAATAGTTCTGTTTGCAGTGGTTATAATAGATTTAAAATTTAGGTTTTACATATAGGGGGAGAATTTCCATTTTAATTCCTGAAATTGAGGAGTCATGACATTTACCCTCGTATAAGTAAGAGAGAGATATGTCTTCTTCTTTCTTTTATTTTGTCTGGTAATTGCATAGGTGAATGAGGAAGAACCAGGAAAATTTTAGATACACAGGAAAGTACTTTTTTTTTTAAACTAATATTACGATCATTATATGAACTGTTGGTTTTCTAGCATAAGAGAAAAATACTTTTAGATCTCCAATTAAATTGTTAAAAAGCTATGAAGATGAGAATATGACCTATGAATCTCTTATATTTTTCTATTTGTTCTTCAGTTTTTCTAGTGCTGAAGTTCATTTCCCAGATTATATAGTCTTTCGTCAGAAAAATAATCACATATCCGCTCATGGATTTTAGTGAATTAAAAACAAATTTAATCACACATCACTCTACTTGGGTTTTTTTTTTTTCCTTTTGGTTGAAAGAGAAAATCATGCTTGGCAACAAATGACCAATCTAAGACTAACACAAAAACACTGTCATAAATGGCCAACACCCTACAACTAAAATAGGCAGTGGCCATTTTCCTAAGGAAAGTTCGAAGGCCAAGTTATTTCAAGGATCTTCAAGTAGTTGATGAATCAAACAATTCGATACCCCCTTGAGAGGTTAGAGTTAGCGTGGACATGCCAAATTGTTATAATCTAGTTCTTGGAACATTTGATGATTGGGGAGCTTCATTTTAACTATGGAGGACCCGGGAAAAATGGCAAGTGTTCATGATGTTTTTTATCTGTGTATTAAATGTTGTTCGTTTTGTATTCTTGTTTTACATAGCAAAATGTTTGAATGAAGGGGTTTCCTAAATGTGTCAATGCCAGAATATCTTTTTATGTTATCATTTTTTTTAATAACAACAAGAAAGGTAACTTTGTTCTGCATAATTTATTCAGATTTTTCAAAGACCCACCCTACAAGTGATACCCCTTATATTATCATAATCTAAGCCAATCACACACTTAATACAATAACCGAATTCAGGTGTTTGCTTTTAATTTTGTCATGTCTCATGTCTAAGACACAATATTAAGCCCTTTCAAACTCTTTTTTTTTTTTTTTCCTTTTTTTAACCAAAAAAAATCTTAGATTACCAAAACTTCCAGGTCACAAATTGGATACCATTACAAACATAAACATAACAAGTCTAATGAAACTGAAGAACCATACAAGCTAGCGGAATCACAGGCTGGTTGTAAATTGTAAGATGAACTTTGGTGGGTACCAGGGCCCAATACAAGCAATCAACATAAACAATTAACGCCTAGTAATGCATCACTATTCCTGCACACGGTTTTCAGTAATTCTTATAAACAGATGTGATTGCTAATGCCCTTTTAGGTGAGTGCAGGTTAATATGTCACTAGATCTTGTCCAAGTTAGTGTCTTTGTGATAAATATCTTGCAGCTGCTTTTCTGTACAACCATAATAGATTCCTATGGACAAAGCATGATTAATTTTGAACAAGTGAATACATAATGTAAGACATTTGAAATTTATTGAGAATAAAGATGAAAAGTCAAGAATTATAAAGGAACTTGCACTCCCAAAGTTAAGACTGAAAAAACATAAATCCAAAGGGAAATATTGAACGTAATTAAAGACATAGCGTTCATATCTAATCTATCTATTCGAGTCAAATTTAAAATATACAATTAGAAAGCACAACTATTCTCGTTACATCTGCTTGGGGTCTTGTGTTATAGACGGGGCTGGAATGGTTGCAGAAGCAACCGTTCCTGAGGGTTATGTGCATTTTGCACATGGCATAACTCTATTTACACACGATGTAATTTACTTTTAATAACATGTAACTTTAGAACAAAATTTTGTGGATCCCACACATATTATTAAAAACGAAGTACAAGATGAAATCTGGACCTTACAAATTTTTTTTTTTTGCCAAATCTTGGCCGTAAACTGTTAGGAACGGTTGCTACCTACAACCGTCCATGCCCCTCATCCCTTGTGTTACACATTTTCCTGATATACACCCTGTTACATAATTTGTTAAATTGACAAATACCTCAAAATATATTGACTAAAAGAGATGTTTTAAAACCTGGATTTTTATTCCTTATTATATGAAATATGTGTCAATTTGATAGGTGGTGTAACAATAGTGTAATAGCAAAAGTAGAAGTAGAAGATCCTTTTGGTCATCTAACGGGTGTATAATGGGAACTTGTTAACATATCTAAAATTCTCTCAATCTACCATATATACACATATATTATAATGTACTCTCTCTTATATTTATATATTTTTCCTATTTAATCTTACCTACTCTCCTTTGTATTTATTTGTTTTTCCTAATTAAACTTACATTTTAAAAAATATAACACCTAAAATATATGTTAATAGATGTCCATTGGCTGCCTGTGCCCCTTTTTTTTACAACTTTTTGGATGTAAGGCTATTAAAACTTACCATATAACGTCTGCAATGGCCATTTTCGTCGAGAAAAGCTTGGAGGATCAAGCTATATTAGGGTTCTTCAAGCAATTGATGAATCAAACAATTTGGTGATTCCTGAAGATATCATCACTCGTGTTGACAATGCAAATTGCTATGATGTAGAATATGGACCGTCTGCTCATCTAGGAGATATGTTATTCTATGGAGGACCAGGGAAAAATGATAATTGTCCATGATGTTTTTTCTCTGTGATCTTTTTTATAATTTCAAAAGCTATGCACAGTCAGTTCATCCTAACAATAAAAAAAAAAGTCAGTTCATCGTTTAAATTAAAGTGTCAAAATGACGACAGAATTTCTATTCCATAACAGTCCATACTTTTAAAATTCGAATCGTTAAATGATGAAATGACATATAAACCTTTCCAACCCGTCTTCAGCAAAGCACCATCTCTGTTGCTGCACCTAGTTATTATTCTTGTTTTCTGTAACCATGATGGTTGCCGAAGACAAGGCCAAGAAAGAAGAGACAGCTTTACATTCACAGGTTGATTTCGAAAAATAAAAATCAGAAAATGTACCAGCAGGTCATCAATGGGCTATGAATGGTGAAGGAAGCGGAGGAGAAAATCGGATTTGGAATGGTGGCGAGGAGGGCAAGGCGGAAGAAGAGCCATAATGGAATAGAGAGGAGTGGGTGATGGTCCTGGGCTCGGATAAATTATGGAGGGGAACTAGTAGCTGCTGGTGGTGGTGGTTGTGGTCGGTGCGATGGTGGTTGAACTTGAGGGAGGATGCAAGAGAAGCGGTTGGAGGTGGTGATGGTGGTTGAGGAAGGAAGACCAAAAGTTAAAGAAGATCTCTCGGGGAAGAAGGTAGTTTACCATAACTGTAATTTGACCCATGATACTTTTAAAAAAAAAATGTTAGTTTCACTTAAGAAATAAAGAAAAGAAATACTCCCTCCGTCCCACTTTGATAGTTCTGTATTTCTTTTTCATCTGTCCTAAATTGTAATCTATTTTTCAATTGAAGAATGTAGTTGTATTTTAATTTTTTTAAAATATTCATATTCAATGTAAGTAGTTGTTATTATAAACCTACCCCATTTAATGAGAATTGATTCTTTTTTTATCATCAATTCAAGTTCCCATAAAGTTGTACTATATTTAATGTGAGGGTATTTTAAAAAAACAACAATCTAAATTTACTTTTCTAACAAAGTTAACTATTTTTTCTTAAAATGTGTAAAAAAAAAAGAACTATCAAAGTGGGACGAAGAAAATATTAAATTATAAATTTGACCACTATTTAATTTTAGTTTGACAGAAAAGTTCGGGCGACAATTTAATCCAAACTATTAGAAGATACATAGTTTTAAAAGTCATATCAAAGTTATGTTAAAGAACACTAGATCAAAAGAGGTATACATGCAATTTATCATTTTTTATTCTTGTCAATTATTGTAGACATGACAGGTAAAATTTGTTGCACAAGGCATGTCAAAATCTTCTAAGATTCATATTGTATAATTGACAAATTTAAAAGTTATTAAGAACCATTTTCTTGTCATGATTTGAACCAATCAAACCTAATTAAAGCAAACAAGAATCCAACTGTTGCTCTGCACACTCACTTAATACTAATTCAATTAGCCATATGCACTCTGTTCTCTGGATAAAGAAATTTGTGACATCTTTGCCACAGGAAGAATGTGACCTAACCAAGCTAAGAAACCCATTTAGAAACACACGGAGACCCGACTCCGACCCGGATTGGTTCCGGACTCAGGCCTAAACCCATCCAAACTAAAACCGCTGAATTTTATCGCCCTTCACCACCGGGTTTGCCTTGGCTATGGCATCCCGGCCCTGGCCCTTGAAATCGAAGGTACAATCGTGCTTTTCTGGGTATCTGTGGAGCCCACAGAAGGTACTACCACATCTGCAGGTGAACCCCATCACCCCTACTTTTTTATTGCAACAAAAGCACCTATTACTCTTCACAACCGCCGCCGGCGCCGAAACCGCTTCCTCCTGCCTCTCAACTTGCTCCGCCGCCGTACCGTAAGACTCTGGAGAACCCACATGAGAAGCATCATCGGCCTTTTTCTGAGACGTCACGAGCTTCTCCAAGGCAACCTTAGCAGCTGCCTTTTGTTGTTCTTCCATCTGGAAATCCTTGTAGCACTTTGAGCAGAGATTCATCGTCGCCGGCGAGCCGAAAAATCCGCAGCCGTTCGCGCACAAGGTCGGCTCCGATGGCTGGTAGCTGGTGCCGTCGTTCATCTTGTTTCCTTCAGAACCCATCTTCAGATAGTCAAGGATTTTCTTCTTCTGATTTTTTGGACGAAATTTTTCAGAAAACAAGGGAGAAAGAGTGCTTTCAGGTTAAGGCTGCTTCTGTTTCGTGGGGAAGTTAACTATGAATAAATAGAGGTTTGGTGGTCAAAAAGCCTATTTAATGACGGTGGATTTGGTGAATTGACGCGACTACCCTCAGACCGAGTCCACATTGGAGCCGGAGATAGGGATATAATAACCAGGGTGTAGACTAGATTGCCCTGGGAAAGAACTGCAAAATCCAACTTCGTTAACACGTTTAATTAGTGGTCAAGGATAGTCTTTACAGGATAGTCAAGGATATTCAACAAAAGTCAATAACTGGAGTTGAAAGAAGACAAACCTCCTAGGTAGATTGGGTTCTTGGGTGGTAGTATCTCACTTAGTAGTAGAGTTCCCTCCTATAGGAAGTTTATCCCACATCGATTCAGGGGTTGGGTTGGGTTGGGTAGTTAAGTCTCTGGGACTGCCTCAAGAGTTGCCGGCTTTTGAAGTAAATTCTGGGATTAGGGTTAATTAATTCAACAAAAGTCAATAACTGGAGTTGAAAGGATAGTCTTTACACTCTCAACAGATAGTTGTCAGATCAGCGTACTATACTGGCCTGCCTTCTTGTTTTTTTTTTTTTTCGGACATGATAAATTTTAATCTAGACCTACTCCTATTTAATACTAGGGAAAAGGGAGGTGACCTAAAAAGGTTAGGTGAGAGCACGAGATGACTGAACCACCATCGAACCATTGATCCAAACGGGTACCTATGCATTCGTCGACGAAACTTTTCAGGAAATTCTGAATTTTTAAGAATACAAATCATAAAATTTAATTCCTTAACCTATATTTAAATAGAGGTTTAAAACTCTCTTGGCCAAGGTTACTCGCTTCCTTGTTCACCTGGCTGCAGATAGTGCTTCAGTGAGTGGATAGGGTGGCGAGGTGGTAAACTCCACAATAAATGGGCTACACATTACAAGTCATATGAGTAGTGGTCATTTTCCTCAGGAAAAGTTTGGAGGGCCAAAATTTTTCAAGAATCTTCAAGTAGACAACCCAAATTGCTAGAATATAGTGCTTGGAAAGCATGATGATGATTGGGGAGATTTCGTTTACCATGGAGGACCAGGAAAATATGGTAATTGTCCACGATGTTTCAGGTACTGATTAATGATGCCCTGTCTCTCTATATTACATAATTAAATATGAATAATAGGAGGGTTTTTTAAAAGCATATATGATACTTTTCCTGTCCGATATGGTAAGTCAATTTTTAACCTTTTCCTAAGTGCTCAATGCTACGAACATCTTCTCTTTTTTTTTTTTTTTTTTTTTTTTTACTGCAAAATTTTTCATATTGTCACTTTTTAGAGGCATGGAACGTAAATTTGTTGCATACAAGGTATTTCAAAGTTTTCCAAGAATCAATCTGTAATTGAAAATTTTTAAAATTTTGCATGGTCCATTCTATTGCCATAGACATATGACGTAATTAATAAGCTGTGGCACCCTAAAAGAACCCTGTCGATTATTTCAAGTACCAAATTGGTGGAGTTATTTTCATCAAAATATATCTACGTCATATTATGTTTTACTTACTAAACTAATGTATAAGTTGTAATGCCAGTTCATATTATTTCAAAAAATATTACAATGAATTATAGGTAGTTATTTCAACAAATTTAACTAAATTTTTTTTATCATCCCAATGAACCGAAGTTGCATGGGGTATTATTCCGTTAATAAATAAAACAATTGATTGAGTTGATCATGATTTTGTTGGTAGATATTGAAGGGTTGCACTTCACATTAAAATACAAATCAAACCTCACCACTTTATTTTGCAACCCCACCTTTTTTCTCACATCGTAGTCCCTTTCTTTGGTGCCAAATCAATCATTCCTGGAGCTAATTGCAGTTTGTTTTCAGCAAACTACAAAAGCCTGGTAAATGATGAAAGATTAGATGGAAAAGATCAAGATGTTTGAAGGCTCGCTAGATCAAGAAACCAAGATTTATATTAGGAATCTTCTATTGCACCATCACCGTATTAAATTTTTACTTCTTCTAAAAATAGGTGCTTGCTACTTATTTGGTACATGATCATCACAGTTTAGGAGTCCATGCACCAAAGACAATCCCGGCCTCATTGACATAAAATGTTTCCCACCAAAATTCACACTTCAAACATGAAAAACCTGGATTAGCAAAGTTTTAAAAAAACTCTTGTTTGGATTGCGGTTTTCCGTCTGAAAATTACGTAGTTTTTTGTGATCACATTTCTCTATTACCTTTTTTCCTCACATACATTAGATCGCTACAGTAATTTTTCCATGAAAATTCATGAAAAATGCAATCCAAACACAACAATGTGGAGTAGTTGGCTAATTGCTTAAAACCACAAAAATATGATCTATCTTTACATCCAAGTTCTTTAACTTAACAAAAAGGATAATATCTAACTGGACTAATCTTAATCAATGGTATATGGGAATATTATACACGAGCAAGTTTAAGTGCATAACACATGTTCAAACAAGAATTTTGAATTTTGAATAAAGAGTATATAACATTCATCCGCACTTGTTAGTGTATAAAAATTTGTACATTGGTAGTTTAGGTAAAGTTTACTTTTTGTTTGGAATAAAATTCATACTTTTGATTAGGAGAGTAAAGAGACGAGTTAATTATATGAATTTAGAGTTTCCAATTGCGTTTTGATATAATTGCAATTAATGAAAACCTATACATGGAATGAGAATTGAATAAACTGCATTCAGGACTTAAACCTATGGATTTAAATTTTAATATGTTCAAACGTGTTTGATAACTTAAAAAACATTTGAATTAATTAAGTGACACTGAATTTCCTAAACAAAAGTTACTCTGAAAAAATAAGTGATAAACTATTCACTTATTACTTAATGTGATATGTACTCAAATATATTTAGTACTTAACAATTTAGTAGTTTAATGGATTCAGACTTTAGATTTTAGATGTCAAATTTCAATTTTATCAAACATACTCTTAATATATTACATAACAAAAATACGAGAATGATTTTGCAAATTAGATTAATTTTTTGCTCAACACAAATTATATATCAACATCTATAAAATGAAATCAGAAAAAGGCTCTCCAAGCTAGCTTTCATGTGTTCGTGACTGTTAACAAAAGCAAAAGGCAATCGATTTGCCAAAGATGAAAAGCGAATATTCTAACAAATGATATGCCAAGAAAAATAAAAATTGTAACATAAAAAAAAGATTAATTTTTTCTACATTGTCATTGTATATATTGACGGATCTAAATACTTGTCACGTTAGTTCAATTTAAATTTAAACACCAAACTTTTTATGTATGCTATACATATAGACTCGCAAATATATATACTAATAGTGCACGAAAAAATTTATCCAAAAAAGAAATCTTACCATTCCAAAACAAAGAACGGCCTTTTTATGCTATATATATTTTTAATTTTTTTTCTTTTTTTGGTTTAGTAAATGTCATGCAAATTTGATGGAGATGATAGAGTGATCTATCAATTCTATCTCCGAAATTTATTATTAGATTACTGGACAGTTTGATTAAGATTGGAAGTTGGATTCAATAATGTAATAATTTTAATTTGTAAATGTTAGAAATGAACTTATTTCATTTTAAAAGTAAAAGATTAAAAGAATATTTTTTTACAAAATATGAATGATGAAACAGGTGATTTTCACTTTACTTTCACTTTACTAGAGGTAATCTCATATATCCTTAATACACGCGTCATTAATCCAAAATTGGATTGAAGTATTGGAGAGTGGAGACTCTTTGTAGAGGAGCCAACTCCCACTTGGAGGGAAGGGGTACTTTTCCCGCCAAATAAAGTAGGATGCATAGCAGTTGTTGTACAGGTGGCAGCCTAATATAGAGAAGGCTTCCAGGGCTCAAGAAATGTGCTTAAGATCGGAGATTACGGAGTTCCGATCGAATTCTTGCAGCAGACACTTCTCGAACTGCCAGAACAAGCACAGATTCACGTTTCCCTACATGATTCCAAAGAGGGCTTCAATTAATCAAATGCTTAACTGCAACACACCGAAAAATGCAGGTTCTTTTTTCTAGTTTAAGTTGCCTCTTATCTTTTAGTTTTGATAGTTATTATGCATTCATGAAATAATCGATTAGTTTGAAGCCTTCAGGTTGGGAAAGATTCCTATTCCTATTTTTAGTTTTAGTATGACAGAAGATCAGAAATTTTGACGAATTGAGGAAATCCTAGTTGATCCTGAGTTGTTTTAACAAAATTGATAAAAGCCCAGTTGGTTAATTTTCAAGAAACAGTCTCCAATAATGGCTGATATTCCAGACTGTAAGGCTCTCAAAAGAAATGCTAAGACCCCAGATGGCAATGATGAAGAAATTGATAGGTTGAGTGCCCTTCCGGATGAAATTCTCTGCCACATCCTGTCATTCCTTTACAGTACAGAAGATGCAGCACTGACCTCAGTCCTATCCACCAGATGGAGAAACCTTTTTGTTCAACTTCCTGATGTTTATCTCAGCATCAATACAGCTAGGCCTTTTATGGGCGAAGATGCTGATCCGGATCTTATGTTCCCTGATTTTCTAAACTTCGGCTTTAGACTTATTCTGCGACGAAATGGAGCTCCTTTAAGGAAATTTCGTCTCTTTGTAAGACCCTGTGGTGACAATTATCGATTAGGAATTCACTCGTTGATATCCGCTGCACTTCTGTGCAAGGTCAAAGAACTTGATATTTGTCTGATGGAGGATGAAACAAGCAGATTATCACCACCGTTAATGTTCACCTGCAAAACACTAGTGAGTTTGAAACTGTGGAAGGCTGTGGATCTGATCATCCCTGACTTAGTTTCTTTACCAAACCTTAAGGTAATGCACTTGATAGGCTTCAAAATGGTAGATGAAGATTCTATTCAGAGGTTTATTGACTGCTGTCCTTTGCTTGAAGAATTGATACTGAATTTTGATCATTTAAGCAACATGGATGGAGTTCTTGATATTTCTAGTCTTTTACTTAGAAAACTCGAACTGGGATGCTTGGAAGGTGAGTTTAGTGTTGTTTTGAAGTTGACCCATCTTGAATATCTAGAATTCATGGACTACGGAAATCATAAAGTTTATCTAGATACGCCAAATGTTAAGTATTTCAAGTATACTGGTTATGCTTCTGATATCAGTTTCGTCCGGAATATGTCGTCTCTTGTTAGAGCCACGATAGGGCTAGAGTTTAATCCAGAAGAAATAACTGAAAGCAGTTTGTTGGTGCGAAGTCAGCGAGGTTTTGAGCTTATTAAGGGGTTGCAAAGTGTGAAATCACTTCATTTATATGGGCAGAGTCTGCAGGTATGGTCTCACTTTTGCCTTTCACTTTGGTTTTGTCATTCCAAAGCTTTTACTTTTAGATATAGTGTAACTGAAATTTTATACTATCAAGTACAGTAGTTTAATCCCCCTCAATTTTTGACTGAAGATGGTCTATTATTGTCAACAATCATTGCCGACTTTCAGCAAATTGAAGAGTTTGGAGCTCGATACCTCTATTGATGGTGACTTTGATCATGTTCTGTTCTGGAAAGTGGTACCAAGCTTACTGGAAATTGCTCCTAACCTTGAAGTGCTCATCTTTCCTTTTGTGAGTAACTGATAAGTCAAAGTTCATATTTTCTGGTCGCTAATCTCCTGATAATGGACAAATGTTGAACCTTTGATCGTAGAATTGATAATCTTCTGCAAATGGACAGGTGTATAGGTACGAGCTATATGTAGAAGAATTTAGCTGCTTTTGGCCAAAGACTATTCCAGCATCCTTCATACAACATCTCAAGGAGATAGAAATCGAACATTTCAGGGGGCAGGAAGATCAGTTCAAGCTAGTTGAGTACCTTTTGGAGAATGGAAAATCTTTAAAGAAGATGACTGTTGGTGTTGTTATAAAGCCTTGGTTGTCTTGGTCAGAAGAGTGCAACAGGATATTGTCATTCCGAAAATGTTCCAAGGATTGCCAGGTTGTATTTGTTAGGACATATGATTGGGACTGAGCATTCACGTTGTTAGCTCTAATTACTGGTCTGAGAAATTAAATTCTCTTGCTTTCATGCTTTTTTGCTTGTTTATCTTGTATTTTGTGAGGTAGGTTGCCATTTGGCTGCAAATGCAATGACTTATCTAGTGGAATGGCTTACCTTGTTAAAATCTATTGAAGTATTCTTGTATTGTGATTGATATTTCTTCCTCTGGCTATTTCTTTTGGCAAAGATCAGACTAGCTATTCAAAACTGAAGGTGTATGAGCTTGCCATTGGAATCATATCGTTGATACTATGGCTGATTCTTACCAAGTGAATGTCATTATGGTTACACCTGTTAATATAAGAATTTGAATCTTTTGATTGTGCTATGGAGATGGGTATGGACATGGTAGTTTAGAAGGACAGTACTTTGTCATGCATACATTCAAGGATACTATCAGTTTAAAACTAGATCACCAGTCGAAAGAAGTTGGGGAATTATACCCTTTGATTCCTCAAAATTATCGAGTTATTGCATATTAGACTTGTGAGTTTCTCTACGCATACTAAGTGTGCTCTTCTGCAATTCTTTGCTTTCCATCTGCTCTTGTTTATTAGCTAAATCCAATACTAAGATTTTGGCACCCTTAGGTCTTGTGTACTTTAATTAATGTTACTAGTTGCACTTGTCATTTGGAGTTCAATGAGACAAAGACTTTCTTTTTAAGCAATGGATGCTGGAACAAATCAGTTAAGTAGTGCTTCGAGTTAGACGATTGACATGCTGAGATACATGCTAAAAATTGATTCAGATAACTGATACTGCAATTGATACATTTGATACTTTAATGTTTTACATATTAATGGTTCTGTAAATATATTGTACAATCACTCTTCATGCAAATACAGCACTACTTAATCGAAGTCGGTCTCTGTGGAAGAAAATTGACACAGCACCAATCTGCCTCTTGCCTCTAGAACCTCCTTCTCTCTCTGACTCCAACATTTTGCACTCATGGTGCCAATAATGTTGGAGATGACCATATGAGATATTGAATATGATGTTATAAGGCCGCGATGCCAAAGTTATTCTTGACCTCAAACGTTAAGACTGAGTTGGAATGCTGTAACATATTGAAGCCTGAAAACAAGAAGGATATCAAGTTTGTGAAAAAAATAAAATTCAGAACCACAGCCAAAAATACAAGGAAGGCTGATTTCTCTGCAAATTGCAATGACGGATTTCAACTGGCTTATCTGCAATACCAACAAGAAGCACAGGTTTTCTTCATGTTTCTTTCCCTTCTCCTTGAATGCTGAATAATAAGCAAGGAAAGTTAATAAAAGAAAAAGAACATCTGCAAATCAGAAATGAGATATCTTCCTCAGACCTGCTTAAAAATTCAAGGTAAGACTAACTATCTTAATCACCTTTTATCATATTAAACCGGATTTTAAAGTTCAATTTTTGCTGCTGTCATTTAAATTTAGCTTCATTGCTTGCAGGCATGAAGCCGTTTAATGATTATGACAAGCTGCAATTGAGAGGCGATGTATGAGCCATATTTTTACTAGCTTGAAGAAGGCAGAGGCTGAAAATGAAGAGAAGAAATAGTGAATATTGGCCGATACTGATTCCCGTTGCTTTTTCGGTGACAGCTCAATTGTTGGACTCAGTTTGGAAGTTGGAACACTAACACTAGCATTTGTTATATAGTCAGTTTGAGTGTATAAATTTCAGTGTTATATGGTTACTTCAGTTTTGTCAAACTGATTTCAAACTTTAATCCTTTTCTTAGGGGCGTAGATTGAAGAGATTGATGCTCAAGCCTGCTCTAAAATGGTAATATACTTTCTTTGAGTTACTTGGTTGAATTTGGCATCCAGAAATTTGCAGTGCTTTCTGTCGTAGTCAGGCTGGGTGGCTTCCACAAGTACTCCTGGAGTGTAATCATAGCAAAAGTGTTCATATCAAAGTCTAAATGCCTTATCTTCTGAATTTATTGAAATAACAGTGGTCCTAATTGAGATTAAGGTATGATCAATAATTTTTCACCAAGTCTTGGCACTCTATTTGGAGCAAACAAAGATTGGTGCTCTCTTCAAAACTTTATCATGATTCTGTCTGTACTTTTTGGTTTTGCAATTTGTCTTTCAAGAAATTAGAAAAACTATGTGAAATATAAGGTCACTATAGCCAGGCAGAAATAGGGCTGTTAATGGAGTCGGGTCAATTCAAGCTCAACTTAGTCAATCCAAAAAAAGCCCGTTGAGCATAAGCTTTAATTGGGCCAAGCACAGATTGAATCTAAATATTAGATTTGAACTAAATTTGAACGAGTTTGGACTATACTAAACTCAAACTTGATTAAAGCTACACCTATATATAAGCAATAACAGTTAGTGTCAATACATTTTGTCATCATTTGAACTTCTAATTTTACTCTTATTAAAATTAAGTTTTACCCTAATCACCTAATCACATTTTGCCAGTAAAACTATTGATAACCACTCTAAATATTATAACTACCAAATTACTATAATCATATAAAACAAAGTTTTTCATGAAAATTTTATATAAATTTTTTGTATGTAACAAACAAAATTTATACAAAATTGATTTATTTTAAGTATTTCCTTATTGCACATACATTGGATGTGCCATTAATGCTAGTATATAAAAATTTCTATAATTTATAATTATAAATATTATGACATAAAATGTTAATAATTTATATATATATTTATAGTAACTCATAATTATAAAATATATATTATATATAATTATCTATTTAATTATGAACTTAAGTCGAGCCCGATTTGAACCTAAAATTCAAATAATACTGTGAATTGAGTTTGAGCCTTTTAATTTAAGCTCGAAGCCTGAAGCCCAAAATTCAAAAATCCGTATAATTTGTGAATCGAGTCTAAACTTGCCGAAATCCGACTCAAATAGCGTTCTTGAGCCTCAGTTCTGAGAGTTACTTCCCTTCTTGTCATCCCTTGTCCATCCCACTCAGTTGAAAGTTCTCTCAACAATTCCTGAGACTCGTTACTCTGGCAAATTTGGCATTCAAGAATTATTTACAGCAAAATAGAAGCGACCCACTTGTTCAAAACGTTAGTTCTTGATGATTGAATCAAAGAATAGCATGGAAGAAGGATCCATCGAGCAGCCCAGAAAGGAGGAGTTGAAGTTCCAGCAGTTGAGGACCAAACTCAAACAAGTTATCAGAAAGAAGATGAGTATTCCTGATCAACCTGTAAAAAGTAATCATTCCTTGTGGTTTGACGGTGATTATGGTTCTTTCTTTGGACCTTCACAGTCTTCCATCGCTCCAAGATTGCTTGAAGACAACGCTTTATTAGTCCTCTACAAAAAATCTGAAGTTGCCCTTCTTCAGAAGAATGAGAGACAAACTGGGGCTTCAGGTTCTAAGCCTCTGGCTGCATCCACTGATCAAAAACCATCAACGAGCAATATTCTTGGGGCAAGAGTAAATGCCCAGATGCTTAGAGCTATGAGGGACTATTCCTTTCTTTCGTCCGACAGTACTTCTGATCAAATGGCGTGTTTCTCTTAAGAACCCTGAGGCTCCAACTGCTCAGGTGCAACCAAAGATCATGAAAGAATCATCACTTCCTAGTAATGCTAGGAGCACAAAGGAGGACAGAAAACTTGCAGTTTCTGACAGGCAAAAGCAACACAGTTTGGGGACAGGAAAATCAACTTCTACCAGTCAGCCTGCTGGCATGAGTCCTAAAGGGATCCCAGTTCCAATGCAAGATCCCAAAGAGAAGAATAAGGCAGCAATTCAGACTAGTGGCAGGCTGGAAAACCATAATGGAGCAACGAGTACAAGATTGAATCCTGCTGCAGTTTCAAAGCAAGCCTCCATAAAAAGGGAAGAGTCCCAAGTAGTAAATTCTTGCGGCAAAATAAAAAAAAGGTGCCGCCTTTTCCCTCCAAAGGATCAGTGCAGTCTTCCTCCTCAATAATAAAGAAGCCTATTAATCATGTCCAGCAGTTGAAGAAGCAACAAAAGGTGCAAATAATCAAGAATTCAAAACCTGAAGCAAGTTCTCAACTTCGTCATCTTAAAAGGAAGAAACCTGACGACTTCGTCGATGCTAGAGCCATTAGCATTATGATCAGAAAAATGTATGGGTATGATCCAAGCAAGTACCACGACAATGAAAAGGATGATAAAGCCATGGAGGCTACTTTTGAAGATATTCAGAGGGAGGAAAGAAGAAGTGCCAAAATTGCAAGGAAACAGGACCAAGAAGAGCTTCGCAAGATTGTAGCTGAAGAATCAAAAGCCCGCATGATGAAAGAGACTGCCAAGAAACGCAAGCTTATCCACTGACCTTTCACTTTCAGTCTTTACTAGAGTAACATGTATAGTATGGCTCAATAATTGTAATTTTCATGAAGAATACTTTACTAATTTTTTAGACCACAGTAAATTTAATAGAGCAATATTTATTTGGGTAAATTATTTAAAACCCCCCTATGGTTTCGTCTATTGCCACATGACCTCCCTAACGTTTCAAAATATTCACTTTACCCCTTATAATTAAATAACCCATGTAATGTCATTAATTAAAATACCAATTGTGCCCTTACTTAAATGTTAACTCAATTGATGGCTTAACTATATTGTATAAAAATATACGAGGATTAAGTGCATAAATGCAAAAAATCACAGGGGATAAAGTGTATATTTATACAAATCATAAGAGAGTTATATGAAAATAAAAATTTTATCACACACATTTTTGGGGCGAGTTTGGTATAAACGCCATAACTAGTTATGCATTCCATCTATTCTTTACTTTACATAAAACCATAGAGAGGCTAAGTGGCTATTTTCAAACTATAGGGGGTCATTTAGCATTATGAAAAATCAAAGCGGGTTATAAGTAATTTACCCTATTTATTTTGCCTGGCAATTTTTTTTTCTTACATTGGTTTTGGATTTTTCTTGAGAACAAGATATATAATCTTGCAAGTATGCCTTAAAAAAAGAATTTTGGTAAGGTGTATGAAACCGTTAATTAAGATTCCAAAATTTATGCTACAGTTTGTGGTTACTTGATTTTCAAATAAATATTATCTACAATACATGATTTGATTGCACAACTAAAGTCTTTGATTCATCTTTCTAATATACGAATTTAGGAGCATAAAATCTGTACACTTACATGTTGAAAGATGATCATGCTAAAGCTGGGAATTTATTGTCCGACCCCCCAAAGATTTGGATTTGTTAAATGTTAAACCTTTCGAGTTTTGCTTTGTTGTTTAGCAAGGTGTAGTCCTTCAGTTTGTTTTTCAAGTTAATGCAGTCTTTTCTCCAAAGCATACTTCTTTTTACATGTAAGTTACTTCTATTTTCGTTACACCAACAAATTAACCAAAACAAAGTACAGATGGCCAAAAAAAAAGAAGAAGATGTTATTGCCAACTGCCAAGCACAAAACTCAGTGACTAGAGCACAAGGATTAATGTTAAAAGGTAAAAGGTGACATGGTACAAGGTGCAAATTTGACATTTTGGTCACATTTCCTATTGGCCGCACCCATTTTGGTCCTTCGACTCTTCATTTTTGCATGATTTTCACACACAATTAATAAGTGACTAATTTGTAACACATTTTTTTTGTGATAATTTTTATCGATATCCCAAGTTATTTGTTAGACAAACACTAAACTGTAACCATGAATATGAAAACTCCTAATCAATTTCCTTGTATATTGAATCTTGATGTGTTTTCCTGCTTGATATGTTTTGTACATCATAATTCTTAATTTCGTTGTTGTCCTTTTCTTCCCAAAGTACAATGGGCACCATAGTTAGTAGTTAGTACATCCTTTTTTTCTTAACCGTTACCACTAGATCTACTTGCACGCTTGCCCAAACCTTACCATTCTTTTCATTTTGTCAATTTTGTCTTCGTTTGGGATCAACTTTTTGCTAAATTTTGACATATTCCTCCTACTAATTCTCTTTAAACGTACGAGTAGAAAGAAGTAAGACAAAATAGTACGGAATAATATCATAGAGGGAAAAAAATTTTTTTAAAAAGGATGCCATATATCTGAATATTGTTGTCTATGGACAGGAAAATCATATGAAATTGCACATATCACTAAGAATTGTTCAGGACCAAACCATTAGACGTACTAAGGTAGAAACCATCTTCTTTCACCACCTAAGAACATGTTTTATGACAAAACTCAGCACGCAAACGTTCATGCCAAATAGTAAATGACTTGTTCTTTTCAGCCCAACAAAAATGGCGAAAAAAATAATGTAGTGAACCAAAAGCTTTCACGAAATGTCCATTCTATTTCTTCATTCATAGTTGGGGTATGATATCCAAGATCATCACCTTTAGATTGACAATGAACAGTTAATAGATTGGTGTTGTGGAAGAGAATTGCTAATATGAACATGAAGATTGGGAAATAGGGAATACGGGGGGGCAAAATACAATGTTAGAATTACCAAGGTCAAAAGACTATTCATCATAGTTTGTTTCATCCTAAATGATATGTGACTGTATCAGTTGAATATTCCAAACATATATATAGTGATTCCAGTGAACAAATGTGTGTTATTTGGGCTGCTCGAAAACATATCCAGTGTATTGATGATAAATCATAATGACATTTTAAAAAGAGATTTACAGACTGTGCATGCATCAACAACTTGGGAAATTTTTTAAAGCAAACGGCAATAAAGTTTTGGATAGCTAAGACGGTAGAAAACTCTATGTTGAAGCCTTCTATTTGAATTAATTACGTTGCTCAATCAACAATGGTGCGCTATCATGGCATCTAATTAATGGATCCTAAGCCAAATTCTATAATTATGCTATCTAATTGCAGTATAAATCTAAAGTTTCTAGCTACTTACCATCTATAAAGCCAACTTGTAGATTTACTTGTCTTATGATTGTCTTGAAATATGAGAGTGCTTACCACTTACTTTTTTTTGGCATATGTTTCCTTTTCTTCTGTCCAATTTTAATTCGAGATAAACTCTCGACAAGGTTTAGGATAAATCCCCCTAAAATTTTGATCATTTAGGAGGTATTTGAATTTGTAAATTGCAAATTATTGTAATGTTTAAAATGTAATTTGATAATTTGTGAACAATTAGAGTGATTTTAATGGATTTCAGATATTTCATCAAATTTCTCAAGCCAAACGAAATTGGATTTGTACTAAAATTTGCTGATTGGAACAAGGAGATGGCTATAAATCATTGGCTGCTTTCGACTTTTACTGCTCTGGCTTTGTTCAGACCAACACAAAGACAGCATTGGTGCTGCCATTTCGAATGTCTCTACCGAAAATGGTACACAATATCAATTACCGCTATATATTTGGAAGGTAATGAGAATTCAAATGATCGCGAAATCAACAGAGGTTGTTGTTAAAAATGCTTAATTACCATCTACGAACAAGACTCTTTGTTCTCATGACCTTGTTTCTGTCTCTCTATTTATTTATTTATTTTTTAGCTCTTATTTCCTGCTCCTTCCTTTCTGAAATATATTTTGTATTATATAGTAGGTTTAGAAATTGATTTTAGTGAACCTAGTGGGTTAGAATCCTTTCCATTGGATTTCTCTCTATTGTTCTCTCCATTTATTTATATTTAAAATTTTATGATTCTATAAATTCATCCAATTGTGTCATTACTTTGCTTTTGATCTCTAGACCAAGATATGATAAAATGATGTTCTTTTGCAAATATTTTGACACAGAACAAAATTTGTAACAAAATTGTAACAAACGATACAAAATTGTAACAAAATTTGTAATGATTAATCAATGGGCAAAACTTAGTCAATTTCAATGAAGTTTATGTGTAACAATTTGGTACATGAACTTAATTTTTCAGTTCAATTAAGCTCCTCTTTGGCGGCACCACAGCTTAAAACATGGTTGTCAAAATCGCGATTCGGATCGTGTATAAAATCGAAAATTGCCTTAATATGCATAGAATCGTGTAGGATCATATATAGAATCGTACGATCCTACGATCCCATTGCGATCCTTCGAATTTTTGAAAATTTTATAAATGTGGAGCTAAATTTTGAAACAAAACGAAAACATTTTGACCCAATTTGTAAATTGTAACTTATCAAAAAATTAGATCCTTTAATTATAATTTTGCAATAATTTTTGTCTAAAAGACAAAAGATACAACAAAAGAGGATTCGGGAACAAATGAATGAAACAAGCAAAGACAGAGTCACAATGGACAAAGAGAGAGAAAGCTTCTTTGGTTTTTTTTCAATCTCCATTCCAAACTTTTTCCCTATCTAGATTCTAATAAAATTTCACAAAATTTTGTCAATCCCGAATACCCGTAACTCCTAATTTGATTGTTTCTTTTAATTATGTCTATCAGCTGTCTATGTGTACTAAATGCTTTTACTGTCAAGTGTTCTTTTCATTTTGGGGTTCCGTTGCTCTATTTCTTGTCAAACTATAGGTAAAAAATACTATATGTTTATAAATAATTTAATTATTTGATATTTTTTAAATTGTATAAACTGTATATGAATTTCAAATTAATTAATTTAGTTAATTTGAGAGTTTTTGGTAGAATCTTACGATCCGATCCTGTGAAACTAAAATCTATCCTACGTAGGATTTCGATTTTGCAAATCTAGGCTTAAAAGCGATTTGGCTCTTAATTTAATAATTAAAGAGGCGTTTTGAAAATTTTGGTCACTCTCCTTCTTCCACCATCAAAGGTACTCTCCTCCATCAACCATCAAACTCCGCTATCCACCATTCACATCCTCCTCCTTCCCCCACCCTTCTCCTCCTTCTCCTCCTCCCCTACCCTTTTCATCAACATCCCACTCGTACTTCTCTCTTCCATCTCTTTTCCTCACCACCCCCTGCTTCTCCCTATCCCTAGGGAGTTTTGATCAAGGAGATAGCACATAATTAAGAAACCAATTCAGCAATTTCATGAGCTAATGATAACAGGACCATGGCAAATGTCAAATTAATATAATGGAACCTCATTTTCTCTTTCCAAGGTGTACCGGAATCGTCATGGTTTCTTAAAAAATCGTATACTTCCTTTGCATGAGTCATTATACTAAAAGACCGAAATTTTGAGCAAATGTGCAATCCTTTCTACACTAATCTCTTGACCAGTACCATCATTGACTTAAATAAATGATGGAAGATAGCTTATAAAATATAACACTATAATAACTTTGGGAAACAGATTCTTTTAAAGCCGGTCACATTATGCTAGTGATGATCACCTTCGCAGCAAGAAAATGACGACATTGATTGGATGCTGGAGTTTTCTTCTTATTGCAAATTC